TTCAATTATCATGAATGATTATCTGTTTATTTATTTGTTAAAAGTCAGAAAATATTGTCAAAACCGACAATGACAGTTTTCCAAAGTCAAAAACATTATTAAAACATTAATATTCAGTTGATAAAGAATCTAAAATATGAGAAAAACATAAAGTCTTTATATTTTTAATTCTAAGCAACTTTTTGCATCGTTGTTTGAAAATCACTTAGTTGGTCATGAAGAGAGTTGCAGATTATTTTTCTAATCAATTAATAAACCAATCGTTATCACTTTAATTGAATCTTTGTGCACACATACACACTGCAGTCGTTCACATGATGTCTGTGTCTCTCTCTGCGGCTCTTTAGTGTCTCCAGCTGTGGTTTTACAGTGTGCACACTCTAAAAAAAAAAATTACAAAAAACATTCAAAATGCTTTCAGCAACAGCTGCCAAACAAAAACCGTAAAATTAAAGTAAAATATCCTAATTCAAATAAAGTGTAAAAAACAATACATTTACAGAAAGTTTCATTAATATTTCTACAGAGAAAAACTGTTATTTTACAGATTTCTCCTGATTTATTATGATCGAACTCCTTTAATAAAGTGACGCACTAAAGTTTCTGCAGAGAAACTTTTTCCTAATAATAAAAATTAAGTGTTCAATCAATGAAATATTAACACAAGCTTCATATTGTAAAGTAAACCTTTTTGTTTGGAAGACAAAGTAAAAAATACTGTGTAAGAAACAGATTAAAATCATCTCAAACTTCAACTTGCAGTATTTGTGTCAACATTGAATCTTTAAGTGTAAAGTAATGTTAAAACCTGTAGAAGCCAATCTAAATACAATATTTATGATTCAGATTCAGATCAATTTTTCTTACATTTCTCATAAAATATAATAAACTGAAGAAATGCAAATTAAACTGTTAACTCTCTGTATGTAGTCTTTCAACTAAAGTGGGGTTGGAAACTTAATTACAAATAACATCACCACCACTATTGACTTTATAAACTTTTATTTAATATATTCAGATGTAAATTTACAATATCAACCAATTATTCACAAATAGTTCTTCAGAGCCCGGGATGATCTGAAGAACTAAAACTGGCATTTCTCCATTGGTCTATCTTGCCTGTTAAGGTTCCTATAATGAGGAGGTGATGATGTCACCTCTGAAAGAGGGGGGCTGTGGAGCTGAGGGGGGTGGTGGGTTGGTGGTCTGTTGTTTTTTTAGCTTGTATCTTTCCAATTCAGTTTTTATCTTGTTTTCCACAAGACACTTCCTGTCCTGGGAAGGAAGAGTCTCCAGAGGTGAGGATTCACTTCAGATATCACGTTTCCTCTAATGAATATCAGATCTATATTAACACACACTGCTCTCTGATGATCTTTCAGCTGTCTTCTTGGACTGAACTCGGGCCCTGCAAACTGGGCCAGTGTTAGCCGCCTGGTGGAGGCCGTTTGCAACCAGCTCTGCGTCTTCACCCGGTGGCCACGTGGTCCAGAGGGACCGTGAGGACTCGGTGGTCCATTCATTCTCCAGGATCATGTGGCATCAGAGAGGCAGTGCTGGCCGGCCCCAGGTTGATGACTCAGACCAACATCCAGCTCTTTGGTTTGAATTGAGGACTCGTGGTAAGAGTTTTGTCATGAAGCTGTTGGTGTGTTGTAATCCTGTTCTGTGATTTATCTTTTAAATGAAAGCTGGAAATCCTAAAACAGTCAGTTTGTCTGTGTGTTCCAGGTGCTGGCCAGACTCTCCCTTCAGCAAAGGGTCTGTCCTTGGTCCAGGTGGGACAAGGACAGACCTTAACTTCAGTGGCCCGGAGGAGCAGCCTGGCCCTACGATTTGGATTACCTTCAAAATAAAAAGTCTCAACATGGTAAGAGGGAATTATTGGATCTGTTGTACAAAACCTTTTGCAATTTATACTGGCCACTACTGTGGGAGACAATCTGGTTTGAAACCATCAGTGTGAGGTTATTGTGTTCAGTCGTCACAGCTTCTAAAGGCTTTCTGAGGGACAGCTGCAGTGACTGAGGTCAGTGTCAGGATGAGTCTCTACGACATGAATGAAGCTGAAAGTCACGTCCTTTGTGCAGATTGAAACGAGGAGTGAAGTTCACGCACCAAGCAGCAGCACAATTCAAAAGTTCTCAGGAGTTTTCTAGTTGTTTATTATTCTCTGTCCTCAGTGTTCACAGATTCACTTTCTTGCCTTTTACTTCATTTCTACTGTTGTTATATGAACGATGACAGTAACAACATGTGAAGAGCAGAATGTGTTCAGCTCTAGCACAGTCACCACCTTCACAGCTGAAAGTATCGACCAGTTTAACATCAAACGGTGTTCAGTAGGAAACAGATGGAACTGACCAACCAGAACTGCAACCTGGAGCAAAACCAGACTCTTCATAGATGTGATGCTGTGACCTCAGAGACGGATGTGTTCACCTCACACACTCTTTAGTGTGAACTGAACACTGACAGATCAGATTGTGAAGCAGTTGTCAGTGTAGTACAGCTCATGTTCATTAGTTTTATTCACAACTTTATTGTTGTCATTGAAAAGGTGTTTAATAAATAAACCTGTGATTAAATTGTACTGAGTGTTTCTTCATATTTACCATCTGCCTCATGATGAATCTGACAGTCACTTTGGTGAATCAGTGTTTTCATTATTTAAATTGGTAAGTTCATAAGACAAATTAGAAAAGCACAAACTCTAGTATCTGTCTCTAGATCCTGTGTTGTCACTGTTGAAGGACGGACACATTTAAACATTTCTATCATGTTTGTTGTTGATTAAAGCAACATAGAAAGTCTTTGATTAATTACAGATTCAGGAGAAACTTCAGTGTGTTGTGATTTCTATACTGTGCTGCTGCTACTGTTCAAATTCATACCAGACACGCTCCATAAAAACCATCAACAAAGCAAAGCTTCATAAAAACTTTATTTCACATTAAAACTGCATTAATTTCAACAAGTTACAATCAACTGTAACTGACAAATTAAAAGTAGAATACTGTTGTGAATGAAGGTGCAGGTGAACTTCACTGACACAAGACAAGTCTGCATCATAAAGAGGTGGATAAATCTTATTTAGTAACAAGTATAAATTATAGTAGAGATGTAAAATAATACTTCATAGCTCAGTGAGGACAGAGCAACAGTCTGACAGCTTGACTGTTGTGTGATAAACCATTGTCCTGCTTTCCTCCCAGTGCATGCTGGGATACATTCCAGTACTTCAAACTTTTTTAGTTTGATGTTTGAATGTTTGATGTGATGAAGAAAAGTTTGTTACATTTCATCCAGAAATACAAAGTTTGAATGTAGAAGTCACATAAATATAAAACTAATAAGATTCACCCTGAAATTACAGAGAAGATCTTTAAATTGTTAGTATGGACATTAACCTTTAAAATAACAAGCTACATTTTTAATTACAGATAATTACTGTCATTTTACACAGATTTGTTTGTAATTTAAGAAAGCAGAAAAAATACTGTATAAATAATACAGTAATTTTTCTTTACAAAAATGGGAAATAAATGTAATTGATTATTATTGGCATAATGCTTCAAATAGAAGTTTGGCTGTTAATTCACAGATCATTTCTGTCATTTTACAGACTTTTATTCACAATTTAAAAAAACAGAAAATTACTGTTAGAAAACTTAGTTATTTTCAGTAAAATTAGGATTTGTTTTTACAGTGCAGCAGCAGCAGCAGCAGCTGGAGGACAGAGCTGACGCTGGGAGTGTCTTCTTTCCCCTCCTCTCCAAACATCCCATTCATTACAGAAGGTTCACAGCCTGCAGACACTCAGAGAGGAACGGCCTCGTCCTGCACGAAGACGCTCAGAGAACACCTGGACTAACCTGAACACCTGGAGCTTCGATGGAGAGCAGCCAGAGCCAGGAGGCGGAGGACGGCTCGTACCTGTGGTGAGGAGGGAAACTGTCCCGCTCTCTTTGTTGTTCTCAATAAAGACGCTCCGACGTTTTCCATGTCCTGAAGCTGGAAACTGTCCAGGTTTACATTCCTGCCGTGCTGGTGAGGGACAGGCTGAGACGTGGCAGAGCTTTCAGACCACAGGAGCAGAGACAGAGAGACAGAGAGAGAGAGAGAGAGAGAGACACAGAGAGACAGAGAGAGAGAGAGACAGAGACAGAGAGACAGAGACAGAGAGACAGAGAGAGAGAGAGAGACACAGAGAGACAGAGAGAGAGACAGAGAGAGAGAGAGAGACACAGAGAGACAGAGACAGAGACAGAGAGAGACAGAGACAGAGAGAGAGACAGAGAGAAAGACAGAGAGACATAGAGAGACAGAGAGACACAGAGAGACAGAGAGAGACACAGAGAGACAGAGAGAGAGACACAGAGAAAGACAGAGAGACATAGAGAGACAGAGAGACACAGAGAGACAGAGAGAGACACAGAGAGACAGAGAGAGAGACACAGAGAAAGACAGAGAGACATAGAGAGACAGAGAGACACAGAGAGACAGAGAGAGACACAGAGAGACAGAGAGAGAGACACAGAGAAAGACAGAGAGACATAGAGAGACAGAGAGACACAGAGAGAGAGAGACAAACGACAAACGTCAGACGTCAGACAGATCAGAAGTTAGTTCCACACTGACAAGAGAAGATGTTCACACAGATGTTCACACAGATGTTCACACAGATGTTCACACAGATGTTCAACAGTGAGGGTGAATCAAACCTGTCAGATTGATTGTGGTTGTGTGTTTGCAGCTGATAAATGAGAAACGAAAACAAATAAAAACTTCTGTAACATCCTGTCAAATGTTCAAATGCAAATAATCAGATAAACGACGACTGGTGATTATTTTCTCGATGTGTGAAACAAAATCAGAACTGAAATAAAACACAGAGACGTATTTATGACTTTAGCTGATCATCACAATGATTTATGATTCATCAATTAATCTTCTAAATGTTTCAGCTCCAGTTTTATTCTTATATCTTCTTATATCAGACGTGAAGCAGCATCATCATCATCATCATCATCATCATCATCATCATCATCATCATCATCATCATCATCATCATCATCATCAGTTTTCATGTTGCAGCTGGTCCACACTCACGTGCTTTTATTATTACAAATAATATTTTATTGTGTCGTTTAATTAGTAAAAAATTCTTTATATTTTATAAGTGAAGCGAAGTGAAAAAGTGTTTGAAGAAGAACTGAGATGATTCGTTAATCAACAGGAAACGAGCTGACGACTATTTAGATTATTGATTAATCGTTTATGTGAGTTTTCGAGACAGAGTGTGGAACATATTCAGTTCACTTCATTTAATAGAGAAAAAGATCAATCGTTTAATCAAGGGAATAATCTGATAAACTGATACTGAAAGTTTTGTACTTTGTCCTGTAATGTTTTATTTCACTATGTGTCAATAACAGCAGCAGCTTTAGTCAGAGATACTTTATTTATCCGTTAGGGGAAATCCATGTGTCCAGTAGCTCATCATCATCATAATAATAATTATAATAATAATAAAAATAAAAATAAATATTGAACAATATTAATTAAATTAATCCACTTCCTTTGGCTGAGGTGTTAAATAACTGACTTTTATACATATGAGTTTTCGTTCTAACAGTTTTTAAATCATTGTTATATTTGGTTTAATTGTTGTTATATTATTTATTGTTTTATGTTCATATTTCTTATGAAACATTTGGCTCATTATTTACAGTTGAAACGACACAAACTGACAAACAGAATAAATAGTTGTCTGTAGATATAAAGTCTCGCTGGTCTTGTAACAGAATGTAACAATAGAGTTAAATCAATAAATCAATCAGTGGTTCATCTTCAGAGAGTGAGGGCTCCTTCAGGAAGTCTGGTGACAGTTCAGTGATGATGATGATGATGATGATGAGGATGATGATGAAACTCTGAACACGTTGTTGTTCTTCACTCGTTCAGTTTTCAGAGAACTCCTTCTCTCAGACGCAAATGGAGGAAACGTTACGGAGGTCTGGACGGAAACAAGCTGCTGGAGCCCAATAAAGAGGCAGACAGTAAAGGTCTGTGTGTGTGTGTGTGTGTGTGTGTGTGCGTGTGTGTGTGTGTGTGTGTGTGTGTGTGTGTGTGTGTGTGTGAAACACCCTGTGATTAGTGGTCTGTGATGGATCCTGCAGTGGGCGGAGTCAGCTGTGTCTAAATGGAGCTGCTCAGTCGGCACCACAGAGCTGCTGAGACTCAGTTCAACTTTATTGACAGGACCTTTTCATTGTGTTGCCAAAACACAATGATCAATCAATCAATGGAATTAAATAATGAAAGAAAGAAAAATGTCAATAACAATATTAATATAATAAATACGATATAATTACTAATAAAATTATTAGAATAAATTGAAATAAATGAAATAAAGAAAATGAAAAAAAATGTAAGTTGTACACATATATATATATATAAATATGCAAATATGCACAAACATATAAACAAACATATAAACATATAGACACAATAAGTAAAAGTAGTTTTCAAATAACTCAAGAAAAAGGAGACGTGGTGGTGAATACATCTGGTTTCTATATTTCTATATATAACTGTCTTCTGTTGAGACAAGGAGTGACGTATTTAGCAGCCAACACTGACACACACACACACACACACACACACACACACACACACACACACACACACACTGCTCTCTATTTTTAAGTCTATATGTTTTGACTGTGTAATGTAAATACTCACTGTAATCACACAGTTAGTTTAAAACTCGTCGATTTAAAAATACATTCGTTTGTTCTTCAGGACGACAGAGTTGTTGTGGCTCCTGAAGTCACTTTTACACAAACAGGAAACAGTTTGGACTTTTATTTTGTAACCTGTTTGTCTGTGAGCTGCAGTTTGTTTCTTATTTTATTAGAAACTTACAGATGAACAGATTCATGTCCTTTAATCTACCTGAATATTTCTGTGTTAAACCGATAATAAATGATGTTTTTGTTCATGTTTACTCTCTATTCAGATCACACACTGTCAAATAAGAAGAACAGACTTTACTGGGAATAATAAACACAAAGAGTCACATCGCATTAAAAAATAAAACAATAAAAAGTTTTAAAACCAGATTCACAAAGAAGGAAATTCAATCAATTTAAATTATTTCCAAACTCGTTAAATAATTATGTATCAGACAGTGTACAGTCATTTCTTCTGTTACTACAGATAAAGGTTTTACAAATGTTCATGTAGACCTGATGTAGACCTGGTCTGATGGAGAAGCTATAGTCAGATAACGCTTTATTTCCACTGAAGTGTTTCCTCTCCTCTCTTCTCCTCTGTCAGATGATGGAGGGATGACAGACGAGAACCAGCAGAGGAACGTAGAGAACCAGGTAGAACCTGTTCTAACATGTTGAACATGTATCCTGTGCAGCTGTTGTGACAGTGAGACGTTCAGCGTCGTTACTCTGAACAGAAACACAGATTTTCTTTATAAAGAAGAATCTGAAATCACTTTATATTCAACACTAATGTTCAAATATGAAATACACTGTGTTTAAATGAAGACTGGTCGATAACAGGGACAGACTAAAACAACCTATACTGTACTTTACTAAAGATTATGTTGTAGAAAACAAGAGCTGCAACAGTGAGTCCATTAATCTGTTGGTCAAATCAAATCAAGTTTATTCATGAAGCACATTTAAAAGAACCAGAACAAAGAGCTAAAAGGTGAAGTGTCCCACAGTCGGAGACACAGGATCAAAGACGGATCTGAGGACGTCACTTGAACATTTTTCATTATTTTACATCATTTTAGGAACCAAACAATCATTGATTATTAATTGATAAAATGATGCACAGATTATAATGAAAACACAGCAGTTGCAGCCTGATTGTAAACAACAGAACAAACGTGTATTTCAGTTTGAATCAGCTCCTTTAAAATACAAAATATACACGGGAATTAGAAAGAGGTGATCAGGACGTGATGATGTTTCCCAGAATGCAGCTCCCCGCCCAGCACCCAGGAGCCTGATCCAGAACCAGGTCCAGAGTCCGGTCCAGAGTCCGGTCCAGAGTCCGGTCCAGAAGCCCATCAGCCTCGTCAGTCCTGGACCTGCAGGTACAACTGGAGCTAGAGATCTGGAGGAAGACAACTTCCTGTTCTGCTCCATTATTTATTCTTCGTCCATCGTGTTTTTATTGTCGTTGTTTTTTCTTTGTGTGAGTTTGTTTTACGCACCTGAAACCCACAAGGCTGTTAGAGCATCTCACAACATCACAAACGATAAGGTGTTTGTGTGCGCAGTGGTCCCAGGGTCGGGGAGTAACGGCTGCCTGAAGCCTCCCCTCCCTCAGGCCGTGGTCCAGCCGGAGGACCGAGGTCCCCCCCCCTCCCAGCCCTGGTTCCCCCCCCAGCAGAATCTGTCCAAACGCAGAGCGTAAGTCTGACAGTCAGTGTTACCTGAGGCCAGGTAAGCCATCAGATCAGACAGCAGCAGCTACAGGAAGGTGAAGATGTTTTATGATGAATATAAAAGCAGATGAAACCAGACACTGGACTCTGAACTGTGTATGAAGAATAACTGAGTTATGATCAGAGGAAACAGGGGGAAGTCAGATCGTGTTCTTCCTGAGGTTTGAGTGAATGTGTCTGAGAGCTGATGTTGTTGCAGAGCTGCTGACGTGCTGTTCGACAGCTTCGCCTCGGAGGGAAGGATCAACGTCAACCAGTTCTTCGAGGTATTTTTACTGCAACACGCATCAAAGATCTCTTCACGCCAAAATCACACGAAGCTTCCACGTGTGCTGTTGGTGTGTTGGATGTTTTGGTTGTCGGGGAGTTTCACTTTGGGTGCGTTTGTTTTCTCTCTCAGGCCATCTGGAGCTCCGGCCTGCACCGGTCCGACCCTCGGCTCAGAGAGTGTTTCTTCCATCTGAGGAAACTGCAGGACGTTGAGGGATCAGTGGACAGAAACGCCTTCCACAGGTCCTTCTGTCCTTCTGTCCTTCTGTCCTTCTGTCCTTCTGTCCTTCTGTCCTTCCTTCTGTCTTTCCTTCTGTCCTTCCTTCTGTCCTTCCTTCTGTCCTTCTGTCCTTCTGTCCTTCCTTCTGTCCTTCCTTCTGTCCTTCTGTCCTTCCTTCTGTCCTTCTGTCCTTCCTTCTGTCTTTCCTTCTGTCCTTCCTTCTGTCCTTCCTTCTGTCCTTCTGTCCTTCCTTCTGTCTTTCCTTCTGTCCTTCCTTCTGTCCTTCCTTCTGTCCTTCTGTCCTTCCTTCTGTCCTTCTGTCCTTCCTTCTGTCTTTCCTTCTGTCTTTCCTTCTGTCCTTCCTTCTGTCCTTCTGTCCTTCCTTCTGTCTTTCCTTCTGTCCTTCCTTCTGTCCTTCCTTCTGTCCTTCTGTCCTTCCTTCTGTCCTTCCTTCTGTCCTTCCTTCTGTCCTTCCTTCTGTCCTTCTGTCTGTCCTTCTGTCCTTCCTTCTGTCCTTCTGTCCTTCCTTCTGTCTTTCCTTCTGTCCTTCCTTCTGTCTTTCCTTCTGTCCTTCCTTCTGTCCTTCCTTCTGTCCTTCTGTCCTTCCTTCTGTCCTTCTGTCCTTCCTTCTTGGACAAGATTCAGTCTTCCTTCTTCAGTAAAACCTCTCCCTGACCGTCTCTCCCCTCCCTGCAGCAGATTGTTCTGAAATCATGAATCTACCTGGTTGGTGGTTTGTGGTGTATATGTCATGTTTTTGAGCGTGGTTGTTATTCTGATGGCGGTCTTTGGTAGCGACTGTAGCTGTGGACTTTGTGGTTGTTGTGATGATGTTGGGTTACCGTTGTGCGTCCTGCTGTAGGTGCGTCACAGGATTCGTCTCCCTCATCCTGAAAGCTCTGCAGGGACGATTCGTTATTCCAGATTTTTCTACCTTCACTGAAGAGACTCAGAAGTTGTTCTCCAGGTGTCGTCAGCTGTCGTCGGTGCAGGTGAGTTCTGCTCAGACACCTGTCAGCAGATTAGATTCTGGGATCAGTTTCCAAACATAGTGTGAGATATGAAGACTACAAACAGCCCGTCCAGGCTGGTGGACTTCTGATCCGAAGTGACGCTCCAAACTGAGAACTGCTCAGTACGTCACAGTATCATGTTCTATATGAGTGTGATTCAGACAGAGTCAATATGTCTGGCCAGTGTTGAAGAAGTTTAGATTTTTCAGTCTGAATAACCTTTGTACTTTTCTGTATTTGTCCAATCAGGAGAAAGAGAAGGAGTGCGTGGACAGCAGCAAGTGGGGAGTCTCAATCTGCACTGTGGATGGACAGAGGTACGTCTGATACCATACCAGGGGAGGACAGTAACATAGTACTTCTGCTTGAGTACTATATGTATATTTCTCCAGTATCTGTACTTGAATTGAGTTTTATTTTTTGGAAACTTCTGACTTTTACTTCACGACACTTAAAGACAAATATTGTCCTTTTATGAAGTACTCTTATTTTGAAAACTTCATCACTGACGACGATAAGAAATAAGAAAAAGACACTGGCTCCTTTTGTTGTCTGAAAATAAGGTATAATGATAATATTCATTTATTGATACATCCAGACAGACTCAGCAAATGTCTGTCCTCTGTGTGTCAGGTTGTCTCTGGGGGACTGGGCCGGCTCTCTGGTTCTGGGGGAGGTGTCATGGCCGCTGGTGTACGGCGTGGCGGTGGACCTGCTGGGCTCAGACCTGGTCCACAGATACGTGGGTGTGGAGGAGTTCTCCAGATACGACTCTCCGTTCACACTCACTAAGACAGGTCCAGGGTCAAACTAAAACTCCCCTCGTCCCTCTGATGTCTCCACTTTCTGATCCTGCTGAAGAACATTATTTTGCTGATCAATAATGATTATTTATTAAATTAAAATAAGAAAAACATTTGCATTTTTTCTTTGTTTCATATGATTTATAAACTTATAATGGAAATAACTTGTTGATCAGAATCAGTTTCTTTGGTTTCCAGAAACTTTTAATTGCCAGTGTTTTTACTTTTTAGAAACGAAGTGATTAATTGTTATCACTCTGCTCAGATCATCAATCATTATCTTTGTATTTGAGATTTTTACACTGATCATAAAAATCAAGTAACAAAAAAGTTAACCTAATTGTTATTATAAAAATGTTGATTATAGCCATTTTAATGTGATCAGCAAAACAAAATTCTCAGTGTGAATATCCTACCACGACCCTGACCCCTCTGACCTCTGACCTCTGACCTTGTAGAGCAGCAGGGAGTAACAGTCTGATGAATGTTTCTGTTTGCAGGAATCCCTCACAGCCCGCTGACTGAGACAGGAGCCATTGTTACTGTGTCTTTACTACAGGTAACTCCATCCATCATCCATCCATCCATCCGTCCGTCCGTCCGTCCGTCCGTCCGTCCGTCCGTCCGTCCGTCCGTCCGTCCGTCCGTCCGTCCATCCATCCATCCATCCATCCACCCATTAATTCATCCATCATCCATCCATCCATTAATTCATCCATCCATCCATCCATCCATCCATCCATCCATCCATCCATTAATTCATCCATTAATTCATCCATCATCCATCCATCCATCCATCCATCCATCCATCCGTCCGTCCATCCATCCATTAATCCGTCCATCCGTCCGTCCGTCCGTCCGTCCGTCCATCATCCATCATCCATCCATCCATCCATCATCCATCCATCCATCCATCCATCATCCATCCATTAATCCATCCATCCATCACCCATCCATTAATCCATCCATCCATCCATCCATCCATCCATCCATCCATCCATCCATTAATTCATCCATTAATTCATCCATCATCCATCCATCCATCCATCCATCCATCCGTCCATCCATCATCCATCCATCCGTCCATCCGTCCATCCATCATCCATCCATCCATCATCCATCCATCCGTCCATCCGTCCATCCATCATCCATCCATCCGTCCATCCATCCATCCGTCCGTCCATCCATCCGTCCGTCCATCCATCCATCCATCCGTCCATCCGTCCGTCCGTCCGTCCATCCGTCCATCCATCATCCATCCGTCCATCCATCCATCCATCCATCCGTCCATCCGTCCGTCCATCTGTCCATCCATCATCCATCCGTCCATCCATCCGTCCATCCATCCATCATCCATCCATCCATCCATCCGTCCATTCATCCATCCATCCATCCGTCCATCCATCCATCCATCCATCATCCATGAAGGTTTTGAGTGTAGAAAATGAAGCGTCTTCTCGCTTTTAATTAGAGAATCAAATGTTTATTGAATATTATTTTTACCTGATGGTGTAAATGTGTTTAATATTGTGATATTTAATAAACCAATTAATCAATAAATGAATTAATTAACTGTGTGTGTCTCCAGCTGGCGGGGAGGCTGTGTGCAGAGGAAGAGGAGAAGTACGACTCGGTAAGTGATGAAGACGACAGGTGGAAACTAAAGGACCACACACACACACACTAACTGACTGTGTGTGTGTGTGTGTGTGTGTGTGTGTGCATGTGTGTGTGTGTGTGTGTGTGTGTCGCAGGTGCTGAACGTCGTGCGGAGACTCTGCAACAAAGAGCACGCCCACCTGAACTGCAGCAGGTACAGACACTGACAGCTCTGCAGTTAACTGTTAATAATAATCTGAAGAATGAGGCTAATGTGACATCATTAAACTATGATGTCACACTGTGCCGATGTCACACTGTGATGACATCACACCATAAACATCCTCCGGACCAATCACAGTGTATCTGCGTCACACAGCGGCTCTGAGTGTATGTTGTTTTTGTGTGATCTCAGCTATCAGAGCAGCAGGACGTCCAGCGTCAGACTCCACGCCCTGTCCTTCTACCTGCAGGAGAAGAAGGTGAGGAGCATTTAAAAGTGAGAAGTCACCGTTGGTGTGGAGTGTGTCCTCTTGTCGCCTCTAACCAGACTCCTGTGTTCCAGTGTTTCCCAGAGAAGACGGACATCAACGCTGCTCTGGATCTGATGCTGCAGGTAACACTCACCTTAAAGATCTATGTTCCCGGCAGGTAGAGAGACTCGTTGCCGTGGGAGATTCACCTCATAATCAGGTCCCCCATCCTCCGTCTTGGTCCTGGTCTTGTGTCAGAATCTAGTCCTAAGACCTGGTCTGTCTCTGATTCTAGAGTCTCCAATCAGCGTTCATCACAATAATATGTCATAAATAATCTGACACAAACACAAAATCTACCAAAGCTAAACCTTTTTTCTTTTATTCCAATTGTTTAGTGGAATTTTC